GCGTCTACTTAGTTTTAGGAGCAGCTGCAAGATCCCTGCTTTTTGGTTGCTGCTGCAGTTACTGCTCTCAAGTTAGCGTTAAAGCTCAATTAATGGTATGTGGTGTTGGTTTAGAATTCCTTCCCTTGACTCCTTGATGTTCTTCCTCAGTATTTTTCCAGTGGTTTATCTTCTAGAATATATCCTTATTTTCTTTTTATCTCTAAAAATGTAAAGCTTTCCACTTCTAAGCCGAGTGCTGGGCTGTATGAGAGAACAGTAAGGAGAATCAGCAGATATAACAGCCAGCTCTTGAAATTGAAAGGGCTGGTGCGTCATGAGGTGAAATTCAACATGAGACTTAGTTTTGAACACCAGCTTTTCACTTGTACAGCTGAGTGAATGAGTATGTGATTTAAAGTCTATTCAAAGATATTTATTTGCAGCTGTCCTGTGCCCAAGATCAAATTTGCAGTGAACCTGCATTACTCATGAAATCTGGTGTTTGTAGAAAAAAGCATAAGGAATATGCCATCTGTTTAGCTTTTGTGGAGGGGATTAACCTTGATTAGCTTTAGAAGTCTAAACATGAAAAATATTAGGCATGTCTAGCTAGTGATTTGTCTGTTAAAACGATCTCATACAGGTGTGCCCTTTTTTCATTGGCTGCAGGTGTTGTCAAATGACAAAGTTAAGCTTGATAGCTAACTGAAAGTGAAGTGAGGTGAATTCCACACTGAATGGGTTAAGTATTGGTGAGAATGCGATAGGGTAGTTCATATGAAGATCACATTTTGGTCCGGATACAGCTTTTGTAGTCTGTTTTGAGGCTTAGCCCATTTGTAATTCAGTTGTAGTAAATCAGACTGTGAGGGAACAGTTTATTGTCTAAAGTGATAAGCTACTCTCATTCCACAGGAATGAGAAGACCTAGAATTGCTGATCAAGGAATGGTAATACAGGTGATACTACTTACAGGATGGGAATAGTTCTACTGCTGCCTTGAAAGACTTTGTAGCAAAGCTTTGAGCTTAGATTTTGAAAGGTATAGTTAAGATCTATAATTGTGGATGACATTATCTGAGTCAGTCCTCTGATAAAAGTAAAGGTAGACTTGAAGCTCTTCATTAATCTTGGCCACAATTCCTGTGACAAGGAGCTGTTGCAGTAGCTGTGTGGTAGGTGAAGACTTCTTCCTGACTGATCTTGCAGCTGTTTTGATCTGGGTTAAACTAAGCAAGTGACTGCGCTGTTAGCTTGGGAACTGTGGTGAATAGCAAGAGGTCAAACTGTAGGAGTAAGTGATAGGACTTCAGACACATTTATGAAGTGTGGGCAGGTTTTTAGTTTGTTTTGCTGTAGTGATTTGAATCATGCCATTATGCTCTCAATGTGAGCTAGCACATCTGAACAGTGAAGGCTTATGCCTTGTCCTTCGTGTGTGACCTAGTCTAGGTGATCCTGCTCTGGCAGGGGACTTGGACTAGATGATCTTTCAAGGTCCCTTCCAACTCCTGATATTCTGTGCTTCTGTGATTGTGATGCCCTGCTATTTCTTAGTAACTACTGTGTGACTTTGTAACTATTCCTGAAAACAGAAAGCCACTTTTATTTTTTTCTATCCAGTCTGAAGTTGCCTGGAAAAAAAAAATCCTATACGTAAAACACACCGTTAAATACAAGGTAATCACCTTGCCTTTAAATAAAAAGTAATCACCTTGCCTGTGAGGCAAGGCTTCCTGCTAGATTAGAGGAACGTGGAAAAGCTTGTGCATGTTGTGGAGCTCTGTCCTTCACCCCCAGTACTCCATGCTATCTCCATCAATAGATAGATGCATTAAATTCAAGCAAGCTAACACACATTTTCCCTTCTCTGTATCATACAAATGTAAATTGCACCCTCCAGGTCTGTTCATTTGAGTAAATTAAAAGTAAATACATATTTGGGGCTGTGAATATTAATATGTGAAATTAAGATAGAGTACTGCTAGACTGTAACAACTTTTTATGTGAATTGAAATCAGCGCTAAAACTGCCCACTTTTATTTTGCCTTACCACATGTTACTATGCTAATGATGCAATGCCTTGTATTATTGATGCCTTGTATTTCTTCTCCGTGCAGATGGACCTCACAGTGCAAGAAAAGGAGAAATACCTTAATGTGTCTCGTTGGTTCAACCACATCCAACATTATCCAGGTGTCCGACAACATCTGTCTAATGTCGTCTTTATCAAGAACAGATTATACACTAATGCTCATTAAGAAGAACCCTGATGTCATGTTGGAAGGGTATTTAGGAGTTTAGAATTAATACTGTCCAAAACCACTAACTTGCAAATGCTGGTTTGTAACCTTCTATATGTGAACCAAAACTGTTCATGTGTCAACTACTAAATTGCATTGAGTTGCTATTGTTAGTTCAAGAATTTGAACTAGTTAAAGTATTGTATCAAGTATCTGATTAAATGCAACAATGGTAGAAAGATGGAAATTGAGTTTTAATTCACTATATTTTAAAAATAAAAAGTTATTTCAGTTAAACATTCAAGTTTAATTACATGGTCTTTGTAGGAAATAATTACTATTTTTCCTTCAATTATTCACCCCCGTTGCTATTTATTGATTTTTTACGTATGTCCTGCTTTCCTTTCATTTTACTTTCCATGGATGTTTACACTAGTTTTGTAAAAGTTAAGAGCTATATTGTGTGCCAAGGATGTGAAAAAGGGAACATGCAAATGTTACAAAGTATTTATGTGACTGAATAAATTATTTTAAAACTGTAGTCTTAATTTGGCTGTGAAACTTTCTCATTTTTCTTCAGTAACGAAAATGAAGATTTTAAAAGGTTAGATCACTTGCTACTTCGTTTGTGGTATGTGGACTTTTATTTAGAGTCAAGAAGCGTTTTCTTTCACACTGGGTAACAACGCTAGTGTGTTTCAAGATTTTTGCGTATTTCTCTCCTCATGTATTTCCACACAAGTGCAAATGCAAGTTTTGAGATCCTTAAAAACCAGTCAAAACAAAACCCCTCATCTTAAGTTAATAAAGAGCTAGTCTGTCAAGTTCACACTCAATGTTTTCAAGTTTGTTTTAAATCCAGAGACACTATTAGTGAATGAGACATTGGACAGGTCATTTCAATGTAGATTGTGGTCCCTCTGTTTACTTTAGAAAATTTATAAGTGCTATCATAATGCACTGAGGATACATCTGAATTGGGTAATTGCCTTCTGCACAATTTGGTTAATGTTTCTGTTAAAATACTGAAAGAAATAAAAATATTTTGGTATTTTAATTGATAAACTTCTATGTTTATTTCTAAAACAGTGTTCAGCAAACAACTTTAGTTATACATTCTGTTGTTTTAACTTAGGTGCTACTTTAGGAGCCTCCCACCCAGTAAGGTAGGTATAAAGATATCTTGGATAGCTGTCTGAACATTTTGAATGTTACAAGGCCTTAACAAAAAAGTAGGTAAATAATAAGATATTGAATTACCTCATCTCTGCACATATAAGAACAGAAGAAAATGGCATGAGTAAGCTTACCTTGGACTTTGCCAGACTCTAATTGATGTTTCTTGTATATATGTAATTTCTTTAGAGGGTTTATAGGCACGAAAGGTTACTTTGAGGAGTGCCTTATATTGTTAAAAATTAAAATGTTCTTGTTTGGTTTGAAAAAGTTGAGTGTTTTCTAGGGGGCTTGATTCTCAGCTTCTACTGTTTCTCTTATTACTCTTGTTCCTTGCTATATGGAAACAGACCTTATGTACTTAATCGTGAAGATTTTACTGAAATCTTGAGATCCATTCAAGAATTGTGGAGTTGGCTTTAGTGCAAATGTACATTAGAAACTATGTACTCCAAACTTTTCATATCTCACTACTGCAGGGCTTGAGGTTTTTACTTAGACTCTTAATTCCCGATTTACTCAAACATTTGTTACCTAGTCTTATGACTAGTCTCACTCTCATGAGTGAGTTTGCTTTTTTCCACACTTACAGCTCAGAGCAAGTGATGGTGAGACTTAGTAGAAGTGCAGGTATTATTCCAAATTCTGCTACAGTGAGCTGCTGGCTGTTCCTAAAGGGAAGCGTAAGTGGGAATCGTTTGGTCAGGGTTTGAGAGAGTTTCACATTCATCTTCCAGATTGATTGTTTTTATTTATGCTATTGCAAACAAGACAGATTTAAATTTTATAAAGTGTTTGTGCGAGCCTTCATCCATGGAAGAAGCAATGTACGTTACAGATAAGAGCAGTGAAATGGAACCAGAGCTAAAAATATTGGTGAAAACAGTACTGTTGTCTTCTCAGACAAGTTTTGTCAGGATGATGCTATAAAGTATCTTTTTTCCTTTTTTATTTTTTTTTTCTTGTAAATCCCAAACAGCAGCTGTTTCCAAGTGCTGGGATTTCTCTAGGTCGCTGCATGCTACTGCTGCAGTATCCCCTAGCCTCTTGTGCCAGTTTTGTTTTCTCTGGTGTAGAACAAGCTTCTTGCTGATGAAATGCAAAAAAAAGTTCAGCTAACAAAGATTAAATGTTTAGAAGTGGTTTAGTAAAATTTAACTCTATACTGTCTACAAGGTATTTGGTCACTGTCCTATGCATTTCAATTTTCTCTCCCCTGCATGGAGAAGCATAAGGGGGATGGGGGGGCAGAGGGTTAAAAGCAAAGAAGGATGAATTGAGACTTTGCCTTCAGAGACATGACTGGGAATACCAGATGGCATTGATTTCCTCCCCTCTTCCCCTTTTTGTGTCTTGCCTTTTGATCATCCAGGACAACTAAATCAGTAAAAAAACCCAAACAGACAAACAAGAACCCTAACTTACGAAAAAAGTCTTAAAAATGTAGCTTGGTCTAAGTGAGATTGTATCAGGTGCATTTTTTTAAGGTTATGCTTTGAGGTGCAGTGTACTTCAGCTCTCAAATTAACATTGATGATCTGTGTAAGGAGTGTGCATGGCTAAATGTTCTGCTGTTTTCAAAGCTATTACTGCTTGTCTTTCTGTTTTTGTAATATTTTATTCTACTTTCACTGAACATTAGTAAAAGTGACTTTCCTATCTTGCAACCCCCTTCTCCTTTCTTAAAATTTCAGTTGCTGAAGGGCACAGTAAATACTGTGGTGATATTTTACTTTTGTTGCTTTGCAGTTTGATGATGATGATGACCAGAGTGATGTGTGGAATTTATTTGCACGGCATTTCATGATCAGTGACACTCTCATTTGTTAATTTATCTCATCATTGCAGGATTATTATTTTGCATAATTGTTCTATCTAATTTATTCAAGGGGTCTGACATGTTATGGTCTTTTAAGTATGTGCCTCTAGGACTTGAGGTTGTTGCCATATGGTGAGATCGTGCTGCATGACAACCTTTCAGCAACTGAAGAATTCAGCAGCAAAATAAATACGATAATTGCAAGTGTTCAGTGAAAGGTTACACTTACTACTTTGACTTGTTTTTTTTTCTCTGTGATGCCACAATGGTCACTGCTTGCAGACAAGCCAGGTTGAAATGGGTGTTGGAGTATTGCACTGGATATATTAGAAGTGTGCTGATGATTTTTAGTTATCTTTGTATGTTTAACCATTTCCAAGTGAGGGTTTGGTAGGGGCTGTTCTTGCACTGAGATTTACAACTGGATGACATGGATTTATATAAAAATCCAGGTGTAATACAGGATTAGAGAAGAGTGAGTAGGAATGAGACTTGAGAAGATCTCTGTTACACTGAACAAAAAAAACCCAACTAGTTTCAGTTTAGACCTGGGTACTAAGAAAATCTGACTGTTCAGACAGAACTGAAGGGCATGCTTTTCAGCAGCAAAACTGTAAAGAATTTTTTAACGATGGCTTAAATGTATAATATGCTTTTTGTCAAGTTCTTTTGGTGTCATCAGTGATTTACCTACCAGGTTGTCATCGCAGTCTTCCACACAGAAACCATGTTAGATATCACTGCTGGTTAACAACTGAAAGAGTCCAATCAAGGAAGTCTTGTTACCGTCTTCACTGCCCACCCACTATAAGTATGTGCTTTCAAGAGGTTTGCACTTACTGAATTGCCAGAGATTTTTTGGGTATAATGTGTAAGTGAAGTCTCTTAGCTGGCATCTTAGCTGTTTGCCTGTAAGAGATGATATTTTCACATCACCTTAATATTTTCTTTTCATTTTTTCGATCTTGTAATCCTTCTCTATACCCTACCCTGGCCTCTTCAAAGCATTTTTAAACTGAAGTCGCCCTTCTCCCAGGAATTTCTTACTACGATCTCGGTCTTTGGAAGAACATAGGCCTGGAAATGGGGAACTTATTTTTTTTTGTAAGGTAAATCTTAAACTTCCCAATAGGTGTTATAGCTCATTGAAGTATCTTGGTAAAATAATTTTTCAGTTTCTCTCTCTCTTTCTTTCTCTCTTGTTTCAATTATAATTGCAGCTGGTGGAAGAGTAATCTAGACTTTTCAGCATGGGTGTGGATCCTGGGTTATCAGCAGGGAGTTGAGACTGTGGTTTCAGATGGAGATGAGTATTTTGCAGTTCAGGACAGACACTCGCGTATATTAACTGTTATATATGAAAATGTGACTTGGAAGTGTTAACGTGGTTTTGCCCATGAAATAAAATACACCCAAGTAACATTACAGGTGAGAGCTCTATAACTTGGGCATCTTTATTCTCCTCTTGGTTAAAAAGCAATAGATGATCAAAACCATTCCTTAGTGGTGTGGATTTGGAAGAGATGAGGACAAATTACTTAAAAAGATATTAGCTGAGAGAGATTACAGTACAGGAATAGACACACCTATCAAATCATTATCAAGAAATCCAGTATAAGCTCTTTTGTGCAAAGGTCTGGTTCATGTTCTTTCAGATCCGCTAGCATCTTCTGTTTTGCGTCTTTGCAGGTGATTCATGGTTTGTCTGCTACATGAATGCTGAAGTTGGGAATAGAGACATTATCATTATTTTTCTCCAAGTAAATTTGCCTTGATATGGCCATAAATTGATTTTATAATTGTATGTCTATACAGACCCTTGTATGTAACTTTTTTACTTGTTTCTTTTTAAATTTTTTTTTTTTGCTATGAAGAGGGATCTGTAGGCCTATGTGATTTTTTTTTCTTTTGGTTTTCAATTTTATCACTTAATCTGTGGTGTGTTTCACGGTCTTTAGCTTCAAAGTGTAATTGCAACAATGCAGCTGCTTAATGGATTAATACATTTAATATTTTCGCCCCAAGAGCAGTATTTCTTCTTTGCATCTATAATTGGATCATGCTGCTGCTGCTGCTATTCCCTAATGGAAATGCCAGGTTTCATATTTGCCATACACCTGAGCACATGCTTACTCACTTGGTAGTCTTAGATTTTGTTCTGGATTTATCAAAACTGAATTGTGTTTTGCACATTTTTTGTGCTTGAATTTTACTGTAAAAGACATGTGAGGGCAGAT